TGGGCCCTGCTCTGAGGATGATTCCAGACAAGGAGATACACTGTGGCAGTGGTGGCCAAATGGGAACCTAAGCCCTGAAGAAAATCTTCTATCTCTGTCCAGGGAACTCTGAAAAGGGGGTGTCTGTCGTCTGAGAAACATGGGGGGGAAAGGATCACTGTTATATTTTCTCTTTATTTTTCCTTATTTTTTGCACCACAATATTCAAATTGTGCTGCTAGCCTAGAGGCTAGCATTCCAAGAGAAGAGAAACCTTCTGTTCCCAGAGAAAGATCTGGGACATGAAGGCCAAAGGAACTTGAAAATATGGGAGACTCTTAGAGAAGAGAAAGGGGGATTTTACTTAGGCATACAGAAATGGGGTACAGGCCAGAGGTGCAGGAACATTGAGAGGACTCACCAGAGACAGAGTGGGGAGCAGAACAGGCAGATCGACAAAGTACACTGCTGAGCAGAGCAGCGGGAGAGACAGGAGAGGTCTGCTGCACCTAGTGGATCACCTCCGGGGCCGGGACGGAACTAGCACTGAAGCGTCCATGGCTTGGCTTAGCTTAGCTTCGTAGTGCGGTACTCCAACCCAATGCCACCTGGGAGGGCCTGGAAGCTCCTCAATTTGTGTCTGAACCAATATATGCACCAGCAGAGTTCAAGGGTGCACACCCATGGTGGGAAATTGGAGTAGTGAACAAAGCCTTTGAGATGGGAGCTATCGTGTTACCCCTCAACCGAGTGCAGAATAGCCACTGACAGGTGCCTGCTCCCGCAGACATGAAGCGGCACAGTGTGACTTCGGAAAAATGAGATGAGGTGGAGCTTCTGACCACATGGGCAAGACAGTTCGCATTGTATAGCTAAGCCATGATCGCCTGCTGAAACAGACCGAGACACACCTCAAGCCTCTGGGGAGCATTTGAACAGGATCCAGATGATCATATCCTGATATTCAAGAAACAATCTCAAATCACTCAAGGTTATGCGAATCAAAAGAAAACCAGAGTGGCTATATGAGTTTCAGACAGAATACTCATATTGAGTAGCATTCTGAGAACAGTATATTGAGTATATATGCAGGAATAGACTCAATAATAACAACAACTTATCAGGTGTACTGCAGGCAATTAATTACAATAATAAAAGACTGATTTACAAAGACAGCAATTTGAATGTGGATGTATTTCTCAACATTCAGAACTGTGGAGTGCAAACAGTATTTTTTTACTGGATATAAGTTAAAACAGCACTTTAAAAAATTTCAGGAAAACCAGAACCCTTCTAGAAGTTGAGTTAATTAGTACAATTAGGCTGCTCTCTTCACATCTATGTCAGCTTTTAATAGAATCTATATTTTCTTCTCTTCACATGACTTACATACACTTTATTTTAATCCCACACTTAATTGATAATTGAGTATGGAATCTAAGATGAAAGTTATTTTACTTAGAATTTTGAAGTCACTGTACCATTGTTTTTTTAATAATAGATGTTGCTGCTCAGAAGTCTGATGATGTGCTTTAGATTACCAATGCAGCATGATCTGTCTTTTTTGCTTTTGGCAACCAGGTGTTCTGGAATGTTCTTACATGCTTCTTTTCCAACCACCTAGTCCTTTCTAATCTATCTGTTACTTTCACCCACACTGACTTTAATTAGTAACGTTTGTTCTCTTTCTTGGATGATTTTCTTCCCTCCTTTTCCTAGGTAACCTATTTTTGGAGCTTTGATTATCTGAATATTTCAAGTCTTGGGTATTTCCTAATTTTTCATAATAATTACTTTTTTTCTTCAATGTCTTTGTTTTTTATTGTACCTTCAGAGATATTCCCTTAAATATTCTTACAAAGTTTAGTTTAGTTTCCACTTTTAATTTTCATGAAGTTCTTTTCCAACCCTTTGAAATTCTTCTTTTCAAGTATCCTGCTTTTGCTTCACAGACAAATATTTGTTCTTATCTCTCTGGGGTTAGAGTAGATCTTATCTGCACACTGCACTCTCTCTCTGTCTATTGAATTATTCCTCGTTTAATTTATTTTTCCCTCTTTATATTTGAGCATCATGTAGCAAGAACAACTAAGAGTTTTAAATATGAGTGAAGCCTATTGATTGATAAGCTTCCCTACTGAGGGGCCAGGTGGCAAACTGTCTTTTTCATCAGGAGATCCCCATCTGTTAGTTTCTGGAGGTATTCATTTGGAGCCATTCAAGATTTTCCAGAGAAGAAAGTCCAATTTCCTGCCTGGAACCTTTATGACTGGTATTTATTTTTGAGAGCAGAGCTGGGGGAAGCAGCTGAGGTCCATCATTCCAATTCAGGTTTTCTGCTTTTTCATGATTTTTCCTCTGCCCCTGATTCCCATGCTCCACTACACAGAGTAACCCTAATTCCTGTGTCCCTCTATTCAGCTCCTCCAGAGAATACCCTCCTGATCTCCTCAGGGTGTTAGAAGCCACAGGGAGGAAGAGCCATAGCTGGGTGCACAGCATGTAGGGAGGGGACCTTGAACTCTGCCATCCTTTATGTGTATGTGAGCAGACTGCAGCACACCCAGATGTAGGGTTAACATTATTTCTGGATGCATCTGCTAGGGTGTTTCAAATGGGGTGAGCATTTGAATCAGTGGAGTTGGTGAAGCAGACTGCCCTCCGATGTAGGTGGACATCACCCGATTTGTTCAGGGTCTACTAGATCAAGAATGTGGAGGAAGGGAGAAAATCCCTTGTCTCTACTTGACTACATGAGCTAAGACATTGAAGGGTGTGCTCTCAGGTCTAGCGTGGGGCTTCTTCCCTTGTCTACCCTGATGCTCAAACCTGTGGACTAGGACTGGTACACCACCAGCACCAGCTTCTTTGGTCTTGGGTTATTAAGTTCTACTATCTTGGAGAATCCTGACTAGTTACATATTCCAAGCACTTTTCCCACATGTTCACTGAATCCCGTGATTTCCAAATTGACCTTTACCTCAACTTCCCTTTCTTTACAATCCTTAAAGCTTACAAATTCTCAGAATTCCAGGTTCTGCAGGGAAAATTGGTTTGTTTGTGTCATCATCTTCCCCTACCAACCAACACTTTGGTTGCATTTTTTTCTATTGCACTAGATTATTTGCCTCTTCTGGCCAAATACTGCTTCCAAAATTCTATTGCATTCTCTCTTCTGTTGTCTTCTGTCATTTATTTTGCTTTTCTTTGTTCCTGCTTTATGGTTTTTCATGTTTTTTTCCCCCCAAACAATAATTAACTGTAACTGAACAATTTTTTCTGTTATCATTTATAAAAATACCATTAAAAGGACAAAAGGATCCCAGAAACACAGACATGGACCAATACGGGTATCTATTAATTTCTTATAAAGTCTACAGATTCTTTGTTACCATATATAAAAATATCCTCTAAAATACATTCCACATGCCATTCATTAAGGTCTAAATCACAGGGATGCTAACAGACAAGAAATTTGGCAACATTCACCCACCTAAATGAGGATGACTCCAGTTCTTTATATCTGAATTTCATCATCACAACTTTTGTGATGCCTTCAAAGATGGCCCTAGGTATAGCTCTCTCTATATATATATATAAAATATAATATAATAATATATAATAATAAGTGTATTATATATATATATATATATATATATGTATATATACATTCTACTTGCAGATTTGGTATTGCACATCTGTTATGGTGTTCTTCACATTGTTCTATATATATAGAACAATGTTAGGGTAGTGACTAAGAAATAGATAAGACCTTTCAAAATTTAGAACCAAATACTTTGTATTCTTTTTGGCTCTTCCAAATGTATCTTCTGAAAGAATAAAGTTCTTTGCTGCTTTTCTCCTCATTTACCCTCTATATGGTAGGCCATGCTTTGGATAGGTAGGGCAATCCTCTGAGGAGGTTATCAATTAATTAGCACATCTAAAATTAGATAAGTGTTTATTAGAAGACATTCTCAAGAAGACAAGATAAATTTTTTACTCTGGACAGCTAAGAATTCAATAACTTGGGTTTTCAAATTAATCTTTATTCCCCAAATCAGTATGGATATTTTGAAATGATTTTTTAATGTTTAAAAAGCCCTAGAAATTTCAATGTCATAATCATTCAGCACTAAAATATTTTATAGTAGATCAAATATTTCAGTCATGTGCATGTATACACATGCATCTTTACATGTGTGTGCAGTCCAAAAGTATGTTGTGGAGAAACACACATTTTCTTTCCCCATACCCAACTGTATGTAGAGGGGTAATAATCATCTCAATGTTGGTTTGGGATACTGCATTATTCTTTCTAATTTTGAATTGTATAAAGACTCACTTTAACACTGTGATCACAAATCAGCAACAAAAGAGTACAAACAAAAATAAAATAAATGGATTCTACCAAGAATCTGATAAAATTGGCAATGGTTTCCCATGGACTACCTCCCATATTTATTATTTATTTTATAGATACTTCTAGCTTTAGGGCAAACCGATATATGTAAATCTAATCCTTTTTCAAAGAGATTAAGTTAGAAGGTAGTTGTTCTAATTAAAATCATAGCCTTTGCTTCACAAAAGGATTTACTGAAGGACACAATTAAATAACGGAACTCTTTCAGCCACTTAAGCATTTGTTCACAATTTATTAAGAAATAGGAAGTAAAGTTGGCAATGAGGGAAATCAACACTTATATGTCAGCGCATGTGGCAGTGAAGATCAACACCTAATAATTTTGAATATTTGAAATATATATATAAAATCTATATTTAAAATATAAGTACCATATAGAATATAGTATAAATATATAACCTATAAACATAATTTATAAATTATATACTTATTAATATGTTATTAGGTAGTTATAAATTACTTATTTATATGAATATATAGTTATATATATAGGTGGGATAACTTATTAGATGAGCTTGCATGGCTGGGGTGATCTCTTTGATTTTATTTACATTCTTATGATCAAATATCCTTAGACTAACTAACAAAAAATTTGTACCTTGAAGTGATGCCACCAATTATGGGTGTTGGCATGTTGCTTGGTGTGCCTTCCACAGTCCTGATTTGGGTTTCATTTCTTCTCACACAGGCATATTTTGTGCAGACTTCGACCTGCAAAATTGGTTTAGGGAAGAAGAAATGCAACTATTTTCAAAATACAGACCACCCCTGGATTGTGTCTCATCCACCCTCTTTCACAAGAGTCTCCTAGAGTTTTCTGTAGCCTCTTGGGCTTTAATAAATATTATCTTTTGATGTTAATTGACTCCAGTGGGACAAGTTCAGAGCTGAGAGCAGAACTGGGCTCAGGACAATTGATTTAGTGATTAAAATGGTGATGTGTAGTCTCTGGTCCCAACTACTCAGAAGGGGACAGACATATTAATCTACTCAGAGTACTGTTAAGGATGGGAGATACCTAGGTGACATTTTGCAAGCATAATAGGTTATCGCAGCCTACTGCTCGCCAGATCTATAGCCAGGTAGTGTAATGATGATATCTTCTGGAAGTCTTGACACTTTACAACAAATAGCCCAAATGCTAATGTCTAACGGAAGAAAAATGAGACCTCGAGAAGTCTTCCAATATGGCTGAGCTATTTTATATCCATTTGTTCCAGCTGCAATTGTATTTTTACCTTAATCACAGCAGAAAATCATCATTCACCCCTTTAATTCTGCCACCTAATCTGAATAAAAACTGAGGAGGGTGGAATAACTACAGATTAGAAATTGGTTCATCAAGCATTAGTAACACAAAAGGAACACCTCCAGCAAGGAGGAGGAGAGACAAATGGATTTACAGAAGCCTGCTGGAGGAATGGCCACACCACACCATCATTCTGTTCTCAATTAAAGGGTAAACCAGAGAGGGGCTGTATTTTTTTCCAATGCTAATTTGCTGTCAGCATCTAATACATAATCGGAGAAGGGAAGTGAGATACTGATGAATCTCAAATGCAATACTGAGCTTTTAAGTGAAATGGTTCTCTGTATTCCCCCTGGCAGCTGAGGACAGACAAATGTGCTCCTGTCTGTACGTGCGCAAATAACTATGTGACTGCTTGATTCGTAGGAGGTAGGCCCAGGAAAGTCGAGCCATATTTTTATAACACTTTTAACTTGTGTGATTTATTTATGACATCAAGTATTTGTAGGTAATATTTAGTAGACATTTACACATTGTCAAGGCCGTCCACTTTCATTATGTCTCAGTAAGCCTCAAATAGGGTTTTTAAGTTCATCTTAAGGCAGATGGGCTTAAAATACATTTACTATAAGAGAATTAATGACAATAAAACTTCATACATACTGGGAATTATTTGATTATATGATATATAACAAGGTAGCTCAATTACAACTCATTGCATTTATTAGGTAAGTAATATATGTGCAAATAATTAAACCTAGTTCACATAGCCCATTTTCTTAAGTTTGCAAATTGAAGCTCAGAGAAATCAGGAAATGATCCAACTGGTAAGATTCAAAGGATCTGCTTTGGGCTTTAATGGGCCCTATTACCTTATTATTTAAATATTAAGCATAGCCATAAGTTATAGGTTACTTAGGTGCATTAAAATGTTTCTCCAGATAGCTTTTATTTTGACTACAGAAGAGTGTCAGTAATTTTCTCATACTTACTGATGTGTTATTCCAAGTCTCTATCTTTGGGGCACATATATTTCAATGCTACTAGCCATATTGTATAATGGAAATGAAACAAATAAAAAGGCTTACCACAATTCCATTAAAAGAGATAAAATTGAATAAAGAAATGAGATCATTATTTCTCTTAAAAAGGATATTTAAAAAATCCACTCTAAAAAGAAGATACTTAGGTGTCTACTTTAAAATTAATGGGACTTTTGCAAAGGGGGTTAGCATAGAGAACCTTAATTTTAAAATATTAGGCCTATCAATTAAGTGCATATTTTAAACGGAGCTAAATCATCTTTGACATAATTAATGAAAAATCACCTACGTTTGATATTCAAATTTTTAGCAACTATCTTAAATGCAATATTCCCAGGCTGCAGAGTTTCGCAGACACCTAGTTAGTTATCAAGGACATCTCACTTACTAATGATGAAACTTAAGAATGGAAGCTTAATGTGACCTTTTGTCTTCTTATCTGCTTTGATGTCCCCAAATCTGGTCAAAATTCACTCTTCTTCAGCACCTCAGACTCAAACCAGTAAGGCTCAGTGCAACCTTCCTGTTAGAACATGACTAAAACCTCAGCGTCTACTCTTGATTCAAGATCAGAAGCTGGAGCTATCCATGCATGTGCGCATGTTATTCTGAGTCCTCAAAATAAATGAACCTCCTGCCGTCTGAGGACTCCACTTTTTGTGCCAGAGCTCCAATAGGCTAATACAGCAGTTGCCCAATCACCTTCCTAGGCTTCCAAGCTCCTTCAGGAAGCTACGGTTCTAATTATTTTGAATGTGAGTTTCACTCCATAATTTGCTCTAGAATCAAATGGATGTACACATGGATTCACTCTAAGACTCTGGGGTCTAAACACTGGTCCGGATGCTCTAGGCTAAGGTAACTCAGTAGGGTGATGGAAATCACAGCGTATAATGAGAACTAATCAATCTACGTTTCTTCTTTTATCAAACACCCCTTTATTTCATTTTCTTAGAAGTCAAGTTAGTAGTGGAAGAGACATTTGTTGGGCAAGATGATTTAGATGCGGGGTGGGGGACAGGGATGGAAGTGGGAAACTGAAGGAGGTAGCACTCTAGATGAACCGAGTCAGTAAAACATTCTGTGGGTAGCATTTCTGTGCTTGATATTTTCTGAAAATTATTTAAAAGGCTCCTGTGAATTTCAGATGTAGCAATTTACTAAATCACAATCCTTTTCTGTAAACCTTGACTTCTGGAACACTCAGCTTTTGAATCAATAATTGACACATTTTTGCTGTGTTCTCTTTTCTACCTTAGAACACTAACAGGATTTCTAACACTTTGAGGAGAAGTTTCTTGTCTTCATGCTTTAGTATTCTCTATATTTCTTCTACTGTTAAGGTCAATTGTTCCCAAAGGGGTCTATGAGTCCTGAGACAGTCAATGCACTCTCAAAATGTTAACGTTTGTCATAAAAGTACATACATGTTTTTCTGTGGGAGGGAACACTGATTTTATCGGATTCTCAAAAAGGTCCAAGGGCAAAAAAATTCAAACACAATTGCTCTCACATAGGTGAGAGTCAGGTATGAACAGATGAACAGATATATTTCTTTCTTCCTTGGGGAAAATCTTTTAATATTTTCTGTCTTCCATTTATCTTTTCTGGTTGCATTCAGGAACCCAGAATGTTAGAAGTAAATAAAACATTTGAAGTCCTCTAGTCCATTTTCCTTACAAAAGAGACAAGGGCCTGCAAGTGAGGGCACATGACTGAAGTTTTAAATTAGTAAAAACAGGACTAGAAAGACTGTCTTCACATTCACAGGGTGATTCTGATTTTGATCCATGAAAGAGCCAGGAGAAAGACAAACCGCTTGGCAAGATTTATTGCAAACATGCAATCTGCCTCATTTTGCCAGTGAGAATATCATCACCATCATTTCCGTATCACCATTAACATCTTCCTGGGGAATCAAGTGTTTGCCCATAGCAAACAGATTTAATTCTGATTCATTTCCCTCTTTCTTGCCCCCCTTACCCATGAAATACATAATCTGTACCCAAGACAGAAGGTATACACTGAGAGATGTAGCCCGGCATGTTTTATTTAACATACCCATGAGCTTACCCATCAAAAAACAGTATTCTAACCTTTATGTCATAGATAGTGAAGGGAGACAGGTCTCTCAGAATGAAAGAACCGGGCACATTCATTCCAGTCTTGTAGAGCTTATTATTTACATAGGCAGAATATTCAGTGACAACACCATTTGGGTTTGAAGGAGACGTCCAGATGACACATACAGCTGTCCTGTTGATGATGACAACCTCTGGAGGAAGCATGCCCCGAGGCTCTAGAATTAAAGGAAGAAACTGAATAAACTCCAGCTGTCTCTGAAAAAGCACTTGTTAAACCAAATGCAGATTAGTCGTTGGGTTTAGCAAGGGTTCTTTGCTTATCTGCTTTCCTCTGATGAAGTTATCACAGTCTGTAGTTCTCTGTAAATTGGCTTATTATATTCTCAGTTAGAAACCATAAGAATTGGTGGTAAAATGCTTTATACCACCAGCATAGTGCTAATCTTCAATACTACGTGACCAGTGGGATATGATGATAAATTATTCACCCATCTGCACCACTAACACATATCTATTATTTGTCTCTTTTTCCCATCCTTTCAGTCCATACCTCCCAGGGGAGGAAGGAAAAAAAAAAAAAAGGAAAGGAAATTTGCTCCTTAAGCAAAAAATAAAACTCGAATACATTGAGGCTGGTGGAACGTGAAAAATCATTTGATGTTACTAGCTTGTAACTCAAGCAATATGAAGCAATAATGCAATATTGTCATTATGTAAATGATTCTGAATGTTGATTACCATAGGTAATGATGAAATCTAACATTAGAAAAAAAATCTTGCTTGGCGTTAAATTACACAATTATTCAAGCATGTCAGAAATAACTATGCAAAGACCTATTTTTATCATAAGAACCCATCTTAACTAGTTGAAAAATTGTCCTTGTGATCTATTCTATTTTATAAACAAAAGGTGTCGACCTTTGGCACCACAAAGGGAAATGGGTTCCATACTTAAAGTGCTCTGCTAATGACCTGGAACACTTGCTTGGGAGGTAATGATATTATAATGTTTATAATGAGACTTTATAAAGCCAAAAAGATTAGAAAGACCATTCCAAACACATTTCAGATTCACAAGTTGCTTCCATTGCTTCCTCCCCCTTGCTAACTGGCTTAGAAATGAGTCAGAGGCAATTTTTCTCAGTGACTGAACTTCCACCTACCATTTCTGGTGACTCAGAGAGGACCCTCACTGTGTTTGGCTGTCGTTTTGAAAAGCATATTGCTTCTAAGAGCAACTCTTAAAAAAAATGTTTCTAAATGTCACCACTTATTGATGTGAACTCAGCTCCAAACTAAGCATCCACTGCAAAGAACAGGAATAGACTGGGCTAATATTCCATTATTAGAGCCTGTGCCGCTGTCTCAATGGGATCACTTATTGATCTGCCACTTGACGACAGTGAGCACTTAAGCATTTTAGCCCCGACCCCCTTCCCTCCAACACCGGAAATTTTATAATGGAGGGATGACTGATCTCAACCTCAGCAAGAATCAATCAATTTCATTCGCGTCTCTGGAGCTGAGCATCCCTTGAAATCTGGACTCACCCCCATCACAAGTGGTAGCTCGAAGTACTTCACTGTTGATGCTGTGAACTCCATTGAAGACAGAGATAAAAATCCAATACTCTGTGTTTGGATTTAAGTGACCAATGACATGAGCGTTTACATCTGAGAGGATTTTGAGAGATTCATTTGAGGTAGCAGAATTCCAAAAAAGTGTGTAATATTCAACATCACCTTGTAGGCCTTGAAAAGCTGTTAACAATAAACACAAAACAGGGTGAGTGTGGCTGACCTAAAAGGGTCTCGGGGGGGAAAACATGGAGAATAAACTCTATTCTTACCTAGTTCTAGAGTGGGAAAAAAGAGAGCTTATGGAAACTTCTTAGTGGTAGTGCAGGTTTTTATTTTTTTTAACGAAAGCTGGCCCCTCATCCTATAGTGAATCAAATACACTCTTATCTTTATAGGACATTAAAAGTTTAAATATCCTTTATAAAATGAATTATAATGCATTAAAATCAAAATCAACAGGCAACTATAAATCAGAGACATTCTGCAGGGGAGGAGGAAGGAGAAGGATCAAAAAAGGGGAGGGATGAGCATAGGGACTATGGTGATGAGACCAGGTGATTGGTGGTGAGAATTTCACAGGAACTACATCTGAGAGGAGAAAGCATACATTGTACAAAAATGAAGAATGAGGTAAAATATATACCAACTAAAAACAAACAAAATCAATATCCTTTACATGTTTCAATTATGCTGCTTTATTTATTCAACTAATCTTCAAGATGCTGAGATGACATTTATGAAAAAGTACATTATTAAGAAGTGTTCATAAGTCCCAAGATCCCGGAAAGATGATACAGAGAAGGGCCTTTCCTAACACAAATACAAGAACATGATTCACTTTTTTTTTTTTAACATGGTAACAAAAATCTTCAAAGTGATAGTTGTAAGAATGTGAGATAGACTCCTTTTAACATACACTGTAGCAGAACTATGCAGCACACTTTTAAGAATTTGATCAATGGAATCCTAGGACATACAGTCATGTGCCACTTAATGGGATTTTGATCCACAATGGACAACATATACAATGGTGGTCTTCAGAGGCTGACTCATATCACCAAGCGGGGAGTGACAGGCTGTGCCTTCTAGGCTTGTGTAGTTCTACTCTGATATTTGCAAAAAACAAGAAATTGGCTAAGGAAGCATTGCTCAGGAAGGCGCTCCATCATGAAGGGACACATGGTCGTGCTGGAATGTTTACCAAGGCATTCCTTTTTGTGTATTTCTCCTATCTTCCTACAGTTAGAATGTTTCCAGGATGTAGACAAGCTCTTAAAAGATGCACAGATGAATCACTTACAGTCTTATAAACATTATTCATAAGTTCTTAACCCTCATCTTTTCAATGACCAGTCCTCTGTTTTCCTTTTCTCCTTCTAGTCTGTTTCTCTATTATCCCCCAACCCCTTAGTTCTGCACTTTAAACAGAAGATAGAGTTTCAGAAAAAGGTTAGAAACTCCAGGCACCATCTTTGTTAGTAAGCACCATTCTGCATGGTAACTCCTATTCACTGGCCTTAGTGGCGCACATTCTCAACTGTTGTAGTGGATTCCCAAATAATTTAAAACTTGTTAGATGGACTAGTTGAAAAGTCTCTTACAACAGCAATTAGCTTACACCCCTCATATATTTTTAAATTATTTTAGAGATTATTATCATATAATTATTAATTATGTCCTCTATATCACTAGCCTCTAGCTTATGGGTCAGCAAATTTGTTTTTGTAGAACCTATGAGCTAAGACTGGTTTTTACATTTTCAATGACTAGAAAGGATAAAGAATAATGTTTGTTACATGTGAAAATTATATGAAAATCGACACTCAGTATGCATAATAAGTTTTTATTAGAATGCTGACATGTGTGGTCCAGTGTCATCTATTGCCATTTTCATGCCACAATGGCAGTGTGGAATAGCTGCAACAGAGAACTCCCAGCCTGCAAAGACTAAAATATTCAATATCTGGTCCTTTACAAAACAGTTCTGGGACCTGGTCCAGAGCAACTAAAATAAATAGGGGTTTTCTGTTTAATTCAGTTGGTCTCCTAGCTACCTTGTAGGATTGGATTCTTCTGTTACCTCTCATGAGTGGTCTTACTGGGAGGCAATTTTGTTTAGATGTCAAAACTATAGGCTATGATAGTTAGAAATGTTGATCTTGCTCATAGACTCTCATGTTAGGGTTCAATTTTCCAAGTTCTACGGTGCAAAGCTAATCAACTCATTTGAGCTTATCAAAATTGCTTCCTGAAAAATTGCTTCCTGAAAAAGGCCTTTATACTCTGCCTGAACATGGTATTGCTTACACGGAGAAATGGGAAGATCCAAGGCAAGCGCCTTACTTTTTCTAAAAAATGTATCTCATGTCTTCTGATTTGTGCATTAGTCAAAAACAAATGACTGCATTTTAGAAACTCCTTAGCTACATCCCATGTCCTAGCGATAACCTGCCAGAGAAAACTGTATTTAAAGGTGATCATATATGAGGTGTAAATTATTCATCATTTTCTGTTTGGTTATGAAAACAGGATAGTTAATTTCTTCTCTTTAAGTGAACTGATTTGAGCAAACAGGGACCAGGTTAGTTAGCTAAACGGCTATAACCAAGAAGTCCCCAAATAAAGTACTGAAAGAAAATAGATGTTAACTTCACATATGAGCCCTGAAGTAATTGTGCTCCATGTGATCATTCAAGAACCCATGATTTTTCTCTTGTGTTTTGGATCTCGTAGAATGTTCTCCATGCCTGCAGGTTGAAGCCGACAACATCACTAAGTCTACCTTCCTGTCCACATAGACAGTGTATTTTTTGGACGTGACAAAAGCAATACATTTGTGGTGTCAACACAGTCAGATGACCACCACTACAAAGGCTGGTAAACGAAGCCTCCAGATCAGTGGACTTCGGGAGCACCACTGCCACATGAATTTGCACCAGGTGATAGCCATATTAGTTACTACCATTAACCATGCTAGTTGTTCTACCTTTTAGCCATGTCAGGTAATTATAAAGCAAAATATGTTCTTTCTGAAGCTTCAACACACTATGGAAGCGCTTCTACTTGAAGGCCTTGCAAAATTAAATCCCAACTTTTATGAGAAATGACTCTTCTTTTTTTTTCATCTTTTATAAAACTGTGGTTGAAAATATCATGAGCTTTAAGAGAGAGTAATAGTTATTATCAGTCCTGAATGATTACTAAGTGCTAAATATGTTATTTTATTGAAAAGGAAAAAGAAAGAAGGAAGGTACAAGGAAAGATATAGAGGTGGGGCCCTCCAGGGTGGTGCAACAGATCAGGATGCAGCACTGCAAACTCACAGCAGCCACTTAAGTGAGAGTTCGATTCCTGGCTCTGGAGGTGACCCGCATGGCACAGCAGACCTCTCCTGACCCACCTGCTGCTCCCCTCAGCAGTGTACTTCGTTGATCTGCCTGTTCTGCTCCCTGCTCTGCCACTGGTGAATTCTCTCACCACTCCTGCACCTCTGGCCAGTTCTGAATGCATAAATAAATAAATCTTAAAAAAAAAAAAAAAGTGGAAGAGGAGAGAAAAAGAAGGGCAGACTATGTGATGTGGAGTGCCACCACCTGAGGATTGGGGTGAGCTCAACAGATGGGTCAATTGACAGCGGTTATTCAGTTTTTCCATCCCGTCCTCTCTCTCCCTCCCAGTTGGGTTCTTGCTCATTTCTGGATATGACTGCACAGTTATGCAGCCTCAGAAAAAGCTGGTGCCTCCCCACTGCTCTCCCTGGTGGACCCTGTCTGATTTTGCCTTTTACTTCAGAGTGAACAGTAAAAAATGGGAAGGCTCTTATTAAGTAAATCACTCCTGGCAATGTGCTCATAACCACTAAGGTTAAAATGCACATGAAATAGCTGGAAATGGAATGCCTGCGCCCTGCATTTGAGTTTGGGAACTGCTACGTACTCACTACAATTTGGGCAAGTTACTATGTGCCAGTTTCAATCTCATAGGGCTTTTCTGGGGATTGTATGAATAATTTAAGGAAAGGTGTTTTTGCATCTCTTATAAAAATGTGATTTTCCTCCCCACAAATATAATTTATCTTCAAACTATTTAATTTAGGTTGAAATATTTCCTTTTTCTCTAGAAAGCAGTGGGAAGAATCCCCTGTCTCTTTAGGGAACAAGGGATATGGGGCCCATGTGGTCACTCAGAGCTGGCTGGATATTTCCCCTGCAGCAATATGGGAATAATTTCATCCAACTGCTTGATTTTTTTCAACCTATCTAAAAAATAATGGTCTTTATGTGAAAATTCCTGATTGCTAGATGTTCACAAAATGCCACTTAAATGATACTAAATATTAGTAAAATAATAATAAAAGGTGCATGGAGAATGGGGAAGTAAATATAGCTTTTGTTGCCAGTTGACAATATTTGCCGAGAAAAATGAGGTGAAGAAATGCAGGAAAGCTTGAACTTCCCTTCACATCATAAAGTGACATGAATGCTTGAAATTTCCAGTAACTTATCCTATGAATCTGTGCTTGGTTTAAAAAAAAAAAAATTACCAGAAACATTTTGGTACTCAAATGGAGTTGCAGTGAAGAAAGAAGTGACTTCTAAAAATACATGTTTTGGCTTTTTCTGAAAGGCAAATTTTAATAAGCAAACATTTAGACATTTATTCATATGCTTTTCAACTAACAGTTGGGTGTCTTTCAGTATTTTAGACTCTGTGCCAATTTTAGCCTACGAATCAAGAAAATAATTAAAAATGAAACTGCAAAGATGAGATGGCCCTTTCAAGAGGAATGACCAGGTAATTCACTTAGGAGAGCAGGTGGCACGGGGGAAGAACACGGCCAAGCAGCAGGTTTTTGCAGGGTTGACCCTCTTCTGAGAGTTAACCTTTGTGCTCACAAATAGTTATCTGAAAAATTTCTAAGGTATGAATGGAAATAACAGCAGATTGCATTATCTACATCCCAGAGGTCAGAGGTTCAGATTACCAAGGTAATGAGACTTCAGTGAGCTGCTTCAGATTTGTTAGGTCTGTCAGTTTTTATAAGCGTGCTTACTTCAGGCATGCTATTATAACATAAAGGAACTATATTGGTGAAAATTCAGCAGCGCATCTGAACAGAAGTATTCAAATGTCAGCTGGGGGGGGCGCATCCACCTTTATGAGTAGGCTTTTAAGATGAATCAGTTGGTGAAGGTGACAGAGAGAGGGAGGTGAGGGAAAATATATTACACATAAAAACCCATCGCCAGGTACAAACTTTGTATTTTCCCTGGAGATGCCTCAGAGAGTAGTCACTGGCATCAATTAACTTATATTCTTCCATTTGAATGGTTTAAGAGATCCCAATAGAGGTGACACGGGTCAGGAGAAACCGGCAACCTTATCAAAACCCCAGAGTGACAGTCCTTTGGAAAAGTGGATTATTTAGTGACCACATAAATGAACTTAACCGGCACTGATTTTAATTTACAATTAATATCACCTCATGCTGGTTATAGTTCACAGTCCATACAACATTGGGGGATTTCACTCAGATGTCCTAAGTGAAACAGAGGACATTTGTCATCTTAGGCTCCAGAAAACTCAAAGGGTGATGGAAATCAGCTGGTTAGTATTGTCCAGTTAGTAGACATATTAACATCTTTTTATAAAATAGTGGATGTTTACTCTGGTGGATAGAAGTATTTCAGAAAGTAAATCTTTTCATTAAGCCTTCCCAGATAGATACACTTCTAGTCTTTGGTTTATTCTGGTATTTTGATCCCACTATTTGCAGATCTCCAGTGATTACAATACATATTTCTAAGGTACTGGATACTGGATCAGTCTAATGAACAGATCAGCTGTTAGATGCTACTTGATTGATCAACTAGAAGTGAACTTGCAGTTGGTTAATAAAGTAGGAGGTGCTTGTGTGAGCCCTTGTAACACCTTGGGACCTGAGTGGGGGCAGGCGAGCCCTCCATTACAGGAGTGAGGCTGGAGTTGTGTTTGGGCTTCATTTTTCTATATTAAATTGGAATTCTGTCTCTATCCAATGTTGAAAGTGATTCACTTTGAAAAACCACATTATCACATACCTAGTAAGGGGGTCTTGATAGTAAGTTATGAGTTATAAGAAGGGGCTGGAGACAGGTCTCTGTAGGAAAGAACGTGCTATTTATTGCAATAAATTAGTATATGGATATTTCACTCACAACTGGCTAAACTGTATTTCCAGATCAAAGGAAATGTGAGAAGGGAGAAGAGTCCCCATAAAGTTGGAGAAGAGAGTGAGCTCTGAAGAATGGCATGGGGATGTCCGCTTCTTACTATACTTATTAAAAAACAGTATCGGGCTGCAGGAAAAGTCATGATGCATTTTGCTTGAAAAGCAGAAAATAACACGTCATGACTTTTCTGACAACCCAATAAACTTTTCTCTTGAAATGTTAGACCTCCAAACATGTTGCGGAGGGAGTTCCTACCCACCTTTTACTCAGCACTGCTCAAAGTTGCAATCTTGCATGACTGCACCTTTACAAAATCAGGGAGTTAATATTAACGCAATCCAATGAACTAACCTAATACTCAAATGCTGGTAACTGTGCCCTGAGCTTGTTTTTCTTAGTTGCGGCATATTGGTTGGATACCGTATAGGTTTAAGCTTCACACCTTGATAAATGCACATGCTATGAATACTGCACCCAACACCAGTGATCTGCTTCCATGCACCCACTGACCCAGTTACTGGATTCAGGTACAAACGGATCCCCTTCCCCTCTGGTATATGCTGATTCCCAACACATTTACTTTTCATTCATTTGGGAACTACTCCATGAAGGGAAATGAAGGGGTGAGCTGTGTACTCACTTGGTAAAGTCCATCTCATTTCTGTGCTCCTGTGGCTGAGAACAGTGGCCAGGAGGTTGGCTGCTTTCTTGGAAAGACCCGCTGACGTGGTCACACTCGCTTCTGGACTTGGGGTGAAGCCCACATTGCTGTGTACCAACTCCTTGTATTCACAGGTTGTAAACCTGAAAGATTGTTTTTCTAAAAGTCACATAACCACTTCTATTTTACAGGAAACAAAACACACAGGATACAAAATACAGGATAAGTATTTGCCCCCGAAATATACAATTTTCTATCCCTGCTACAAGATATATCATCTTCTTTACCCTCCCCACACAGAAACGTATCAATTTTCCTTTGTAACTCTCCAGCCTTAACTGAAATGTCAGGAAAGTATTTTATTAGGAATACTAAGCAAACACCGCTATTTAAAAAGAATGTGGCTGATCGTTTACTCATTCTTATTGTTTTCAGAAGAGGTGAGGATTATAGCTCAATTCAAGATGCAATTACAAATCTGGAAACCTGCCAGCTTTCTATCTGAATTTGATCCAGAGAGTTTTATGCTCTTCGTTTGGGAAATGCATCCATTTTCAAATATCAGAATGCCTCATCACCATTTCCTCTCTGGGCTTCTGCTGCCTTCCCATAATCTCATTGGCAGACAGATAAACCCTTAAATTACATCACAACTGTGACCACAGTGTATAGCAATCTCTGGTGGGGGAGGAGGGGAGGTTTTTTCCCATGGGCTGTGTTTTGTAATTATCATGAACCCATTCAGTGGAAACTGAGTAGGTCGCTAAAGCTAGGTGTGGTGATGTTATATGAGATGGCTCTTCCTCGGAGTCATGTCTTAAAACAATGACAAGGTAAAGTCCCCATTTCTTCATCCCTGTTGGGTGTTTGGAACAAAAGACTTGAAGGCTTTCTTTGTTTGGCTCAAGAACACCTGGGTATGAAAATGCGTTTTCTAGACACAGGTTTTGATTGGTCCACACTTGTTTCAACAGACGACCCTCCTGGTGACACGCAGGGCTCAGGCCAACGCTGTCCCAGCATATCAGCACCTGATTTGGGTTTAAAAGCTCCCCAGACATGTACCTCCCCTCCCATGGGCATTTTCTCCATAACGCCCAACTTACTGCCCATGGTAACAAGAGTAAGTTGTCGTTTCAGGATTGTGATCAGTGATTTGATCAAAATGAAGTCAGAATTCTCAGAGAATTTTGCTATCACTTTTGTAAGTTGGTTTGTCTTGCCTCATGGCCCAAAGGTATTTTTGCAAGGCTCTGCCTCAGTCATGTGTAAGGGTGCTTATCTGTCATTGGAGCTGGAGTTAAGAACTTGGTGATTTGATAGAAGATATTTATCTCTTTACTCCAAATAAAAGCAAACTCCCCCACTCTCTAAATGTACTGATTCTGAAAACTTTCATACAAAGTGAAGGAGGAATTACCAATCATTTATGTGGAAAATTTTTTGTGCATTCCCAGATCCCCAAAACAACTAGTTATATCACACCGAATAATACAAAAACTGCAGACAGAGACAAGCCTATATAGTCATCCCCCAGGAAGGAACCTGAGGGCTCTGTCTCTACAAAGATTGCAGCAAGGACTCTAAATGCTATTTTTGCTTTTCCCCTTTTTGCACAAAAGCAAACATTTTCTGGTTTTCTTCAGGTTACTGAAAACAGGTACTAATGCAAATTGTCGTAACTTGGTGTCCTGTTGGATTGGAAGAGCCCTAAAGCCAACGGACTGCTGTCTTTGTAAAAAGACAGACCGAGCACAATGTTAATACAGGGACACACGCACAGGAAGAAGATGGCCGCAGGAAGACAGGGCTGCAACCGTGGTGACACTGCCTGTAGCTAAGGAGTAACGATGGCCAATGGAAGTTGGGTGCTGCAAAGGAGTATTTTTCTCTTGAAGAACTTTATAGAGAGCCAAGTTCTGACAATACCTTCATTTTGGACTTGGCACCTTCAGAACTGTGCGAAAATAAGTTATGCCATTTTAAGGCATAACTTTTTAAGTTTCTTTCTTACCACAGAACTAGGAAACACATGCATTTGGTTTTTAGCAAGGGCTACACAGTCTACATGACCAAGACAACTAAAAGATAATAACATTCACTGAATACTCAGTCTTCATGAGAAAATTTCTAGGTGGATTAACACGCTAAAATTCTTTTCTCAAACCATTTTGAAATAAGGAAAACAAGGCTTTCAGGCTTAACTACCTTGTCTGAGTCACCATGTCAGTTGCAAACCGAGGCTGTCACGTTGCAGAGTCTGTTCCTTTCACCACGATGCTGGTGGTGATGATGGTGGTAATGAAAACAGCCATAATGACCCCCTGCTTTGTCCACAGTTAGATGACAATTATTGCACTAGCAGAAGGGATAGTTTTGCTTACACAAATTCAGTCTCACTGAATTTCCTTTGTCACCTCCATATGAATTTGAGGGTGAAGAGTGGGGTTGAGAGGGTAGCAAGTCTGTGACAATGGAATGACACAAAGCTAATGGCTCACATGGGAACTGAACCGGTGACCTTAGCTTCATTAACTCTCTCCGTGAGTCAAATACTTTTAATTGTATTTTACTTCATAAAATAGCTTAAAAAGAAGTCCACCTAGAGAGTGGAGGCCCAATCTGCAATCTCCTTTCCAACCATATTTGGATTTTTCTTCCAGGTGTCTAACATTTAGTGGTTTTTATGGTGAGTTTTTTATTTTTTTATTTATGCATACAGAACTGCAGAAATGGGGTGTAGGCCAGAGGTGGTAAGAAGATTCACCAGAGACAGGTGGGGAGCAGGACAGGCAGACTGATGAAGTGCACTGCTGAGGGGAGACAGGAGAGGTCTGCCGCGCCATTTGGGTCACTTCCCTGGCCAGGGATCAAACCTGTGCTGATGTGGCTGTGGCTAGCTCCACAGTTCTGCAGTCTAATCTGCTGTACCACCAGGGAGGGTCCAGGTGTTCTTTCTTTTTCTTTTTTTTCCTGTGGTTCTATGAGAGGAATTTTAAATTCTCCAGGACCCTAACCCTTTCGACAATACCTTAAGCAATTCCATCATAATTTTGGTAGGGGCAACAGTATTATATAGGCCTGCAGAAAAGAAATTTAGGCCCATAAATATATGTCATTGAAAAACCTATTTTAAAAGTAGGATTGTCTTTTTAAAGTAAGGTTTGAATGTAGAATTTATCTGTTTCACATAAGAAATACTTGCTCCATTTAATAAATGAGAGAACTGAGACCCTGAGAAGTTGCTTTGTGTGAGGTTGCATCACAGGTTAACTAGAATGACTGGGATTCTGATTTTAGCTTCTAATATTAAATTTCCTCCCTTCTTATTTAATTATAATTTGATTGTAGCATTTCATTTGGTTTGTACTTGTCTTTTGCATTCTAACTTTCACGGAAAAGTTAAAACTTGAGGCAAATAAGGTCAAAAACTCTCTAATGAATACTGAAAACCTTGTTTTGTTGTGTTTGAAGTCAGTCTTCATATTTAGTGAGTTCATATTTCTATGGTCTCAGATTTCCCCCAACTTCTCATGTTCCCATAAACCCAGCTTTCATCATTTATGTGACATCACCATTTATACCAAACCTGCCAACCCCTCAGCTTAGCCTGGACTACCTGAATGAGCTCCGAAGCTGACATTACTCCATGGTTGGGCAAAACCACCTACCACGAAGCCTACTTTATAATGATATGCTCAGTATCTCAGCAGTGGATCGGTGTTTTGTAGACCCATGGAATTAAAAACCACAAAACACAGTTTCAAAAAGTGCTAGCAATGCAGCCACCACTGAGTACAGAGTTTACTTTTGCAGTCAGGTGACAGGACTCGTGGCTGTGGGAACTGCTGATGTGTCCCCCATAATGAGAAACCATGCTGCTCTCACTAGTCTGGGCAAAGGTCAATGGTCAACATTCAGAGGACAGTTTCTACTCAGTGTATATGGCTTCTGCATACACCAGTTCATATAAAAAATGCAGTAGTTTGCTCAAAGTGCCTTCTGGCACTTATTTTTTTTTATAAATATTTATTTATTTATGCATACAAACTGGGGTACAGGCCAGAGGTGCAGGGGCAGTGAGAGGCTTCACCAGAGACAGAGTGGGGAGCAGAACTGGCAGATCAACGAAGTACACTGCTGAGGGGAGCAGTGGGCGAGACAGGAAAGATCTGCACCATGTGGGTCAGCTCCAGGGCCAGGGACTGAACTCACTGAAGTGGCTTTGGCTAGCTTGCAGTGCTGTGCTTTAACTCACTGCACCACCAGTACTTTGTTTTTTAAATGAACTTAGGTGTTGATTATTGATATAAAATGGGATAGTCCACTTTGTAATAGCATATAATGCCTCAAAGAGGAAAGGCAGGTTCAGCTGGCACCGTGTGTGCATACGACTTATATAAAGCAGGCAGTTTCTTGCCTAAATATTGTGTTCCTTAGGCATGTCTTGAAAGATGTGCCACTTCAACCATAGGAAATGGTTTTGGAATTCTGCTAAGTGAAAGAACACATATAGTAAGTCTGTCGTGGTGCCAGAAAACCAACAGTTGAAGGTGAATTCAAGAATACCAGCCCTCAGAGTAGTTGTTCTCTAAATGCTTAATGTCATACCATCCTCGGTCTCTTTCTCCGTCTACACAGAAAATGGAAAACTTCATTGTGCTACAGACACAACTATGGTATTTTCCCTTGTAAAAGGTAATAGATATTAAAATTTTGTTTATGGAGCGATATTCATTTCAAGGTTCAGTTGTTATTACTCAAATGAATTAGAAAACCAGATTCTATTTTAGATGATGAAGTTTTTAATATGTTTGTTTAATGGGCAGATAATTTTATAAGTGAGTGAATGAATATTGCATTGTTACTGAAGAATTTAACGAATAAAGCTCACAGGTCACTTACAGTTTCTTAGGTTACTAACATAGAAATCCACCTGTCCAATAGAATAAGCTCTATTGTAACTTAGAAAAGGGTTTCTTTTACAAATGACATTACTCTTCCATATTTGATAGAACATCACCTCATTCATTGATTTGTTAATTAATTAAACACAAACTACATGCCAGATATTTAATATAATGAATGTGCTATCTGACTGGAGTATATATATCTTTTAAAGGAAGATGATCTCTGAAATACT